TGTCCCCGCTCACCGGGCGTGCGGCTGCCGGGCACTTTCATGTAGAGCTGCACGGTGTTCATGCCCAGGATGGTGTGGCCCACGTGGCTCAGCATGTTCCCCGTGGAGGACACGCGCATGAACGCCGGCAGCTTCAGCAGCTCCTGCAGCTGCGGCTTCCACCTGCGCCAGGGGACGGGGACAGGGACAGGGGATGGGGACAGGAATGTCACCTGGGGGTGGCACCCGCCCGGGGGCATCGCCTGCCCCCCAAGGGAACCGGGCCCTGTCACCTGACGGTGGCCCTGACCCCAACACTCGGTCCCATAAATGGCCCTGTGGCACCCAGGGGTGGCCCTGACCCCCCCATTGTCACCCAGGGGTGGCCCTGACCCAGCCATTGTCACCCAGAGGTGAGCTGAGCCCATCATTGTCACCCTGACACTGCCATTGTCACCCAGAGGTGACCCTGACACTCCCATTGTCCAGGTCACAGACCCCCATTGTCACCCGGGGGTGTCCCCAACCCCCCCACTGTCACCCATGGGTGTCCCCAACCCCCCCATTGTCACCCATGGGTGTCCCAAACCCCCCCATTGTCACCCATGGGTGTCCCAAACCCCCCCCACTGTCACCCGGGGGTGTCCCCTCACCTTTTGGCGTCCGAGAGGTCGATGTTGGTCCCGAACTTGATGATCTGGTGGGATTTCTGGTCGGGGGGGCTGGGGGGGACACGGGGTCATGGGGGTGGGGACGGGGTCCCCAAGGGGGACAGGTCTCCCCTCCAGGATTTGGGGACCCCCCTGGGGACACCCTGGGGACACACGGACCGCCCCCCCAAGGACACAGGGACCCTCCAAAGGACAATGGGACCCCCCAAGGATAAGGTGACAACTTGGGGACACCAGGATACCCCCCAAGGACACAGGGATCCCTACAGTGACACCCTGGGGACACCAAGAACCCCCCAAAAGACACCGTGGGGACCCTTTGGGGACACCAGGACTCCCCCAAGGACATCAGGACCCCTCCCCCAAGGACACAGGGACACTTTGGGGACACCAGGACCCTCCCCCACACCGTGGCCCGGGCTGGGGAGGGGGTGACCCGTTGTCCCCACCAGGATGTCCCCACCCGTTGTCCCCTCGTCCCCAAGAGCGGTGTCCCCACCTGGGCGGGGTCTCGGTGGTGCTGTCGGGCTCCTCGGCCTCCTCATCCTCGCTGTCCTTGTCCTCCTGTGGGGACAGCGTCACCTGAGTGTCACCTCAGCCCCCGGATGTCACCTCGGCCCCTCTGAGTGACACTCGGGGACACTCCAGGGACACCCAGAAATTCCAGAGGACACTTGGGAACATTCTGGAGACACCCCCAGGACACCGAGGGACACTCAGGGTCACAAAGAGACACTCGGGGACACCCTGGGGACAGCCAAGGATGTGTCCCCTGTCCCCCTGCAGGGACTCCTGGTACTGGGTGTACTGGGNCCAGGCCCCTCCTATTTTCTCTAAGCCCCTCCCCTCCCCAGGCCCCGCCCACCTGTCGCAGAAGGCCGAGATGATTTCCCATAGCGCTGCCCCCAAATAACCCCTCCCTCTTTATACAAGCCCCGCCTCTTTATGCAAATCCCACCCCTTTCCACAAGCCACTCCCCATTTTATGCAGGCCCCGCCCCCTTTCCAGGCCCCGCCCACCTGTCGCAGAAGGCCGAGATGGTTTCCCAGTAGTGCTCGTGCACCGCGAACCACTCGCAGTCGCCGGGGCCGATGTTGATGTTCACCGAGCAGAAGTTGTTGTTCTCCTGGTGGCCTGCGGGGGACGCCACCACTGTCACTGTCATTGTCACTGTCACTCCCTGTCACCGTCACTGTCACCCCCACCGTCACTGTCACCCCCACTGTCACTGTCACCCCCACTGTCACTGTCACCGCCACTGTCACCGTCACTGTCACCGTCCCTGTCCCCACCACTGCCCTGTCACTATCACCGCCATTGTCACCGTCACTGTCACTGTCCCTATCACTGTCACTCCCTGTCACTGTCACCGCCACTGTCACCGTCACTGTCACTGTCATTGTCACCGCCACTGTCACTGCCCTGTCACTGTCACCATCACTGTCACTGTCCCTGTCACTGCCGCTGGCACCTCGTGTCACCCCTCCACAGGACATTGACATGTGGGTGCTCAGCCGGGTGTCCCCCAGCCGTGTCTGTGTCCCCAGTGTCACCCCCAGCTGTCCCCCGGTGTCCCTGCTGTGTCCCCATCCATCCCTAGGTGTCCCCAGCTGTCTGTGACGTGTCCCCACCATGTCCCCAGGTGTCCCCCAGTGTCCCTGCCGTGTCCCCATCCATCCCTAGGTGTCCCCACTGTGTCCCCAGCTGTCCCCAGCCGTCGCCAGGTGCCCCGCTGTGTCCCCAGCTGTCCCCACCATGTCCCCACCATGTCCCCCGGTGTCCCCAGCTGTCCCCAGGTGTCCCCGCTCACCGGGCGTGCGGCTGCCGGGCACTTTCATGTAGAGCTGCACGGTGTTCATGCCCAGGATGGTGTGGCCCACGTGGCTCAGCATGTTCCCCGTGGAGGACACGCGCATGAACGCCGGCAGCTTCAGCAGCTCCTGCAGCTGCGGCTTCCACCTGCGCCAGGGGACGGGGACAGGGACAGGGGATGGGGACAGG